ATATAAAGGAAAACCTACTACTGTCTTTTTTCCCCCCAGGCCTGTCCTGGGGCTTAAACTCAGAGTCTGGATGCTGTCCCTTAACTTTTCAGCTCAAAGCTAGTGCTCTGCCATTTGAACCACAGCTCCCCTTCTGGCTTTTTGGTGATTAATTGGAGATAAGAGTCTCATGAGGGGCTGGGATGTAGCTCAGTGGCAAAGCGCTTGCCTAGCAAGCGCAACGTCCTGGGTTCGATCCCCAGTACCAAAAAAGAAATGACAAAAAAAATACAGTTAAAAAAAAAAAGAGTCTCATGAGCTCTTCTGCCCAAACTGGGCTTTGAACCAAGATCCTCAGACGTCATCCTCCTGAATAGCTAGGATTAAAGGCATGAGCCACCAACACCCAACTTTGTTCATGGATTTTGTAAATTTTAATGTATTGAGTAATAGAATTGCTTTCTAAGGGTATAATGTTGGGCAAATGGCCACATCTGTAATATGATTCTGCCTCCTTTGCTTATTCAACTCAGAGCCTTGTGTAGGTAGGTAAGTAGCCTGCTGCCGAGCCTCCTGAATGATACAGGAACACTGGAGTTAGCTAGGTGAAAGCTAGCTGGTATGGAAGTGTCAGCTTTTCCACTTACAGCCAAGGCTCCAAGGAACTTGTGTCCTCTTCAGATTGGTAGAAGACACAACTTCGCAATGAGTCAGGCTTGAATCTGCCAGTCATTGTGTGCATCAGTTCCTCACCTGGAACAGTTGAATAGCTTGTAGACTGCTGTGTTCAAACGGAAGAATACAGTATAGCGCAAGGATTGAGTGTGTACTAGGTTCTCCATAAACGACAACCCTTACACTGTCAGCAATACAAAAGACGGAAGACCTCTCCTAGATCTCTAAACAAGCTCAATCAACATACTGTTACATGATCATGTAATAAACAATTCTAAGTTTTCAAATCTTTAAGAATTTTAGCAAGGGCTGACACCAGTGGCTCACAGCTGTCATCCTAGCCACTCAGTAGGCTGTGATCTGAGGATCGCGGTTCAAAGCCAGCCCAGGCAGGAAAGTCCATGGCACTCTTATCTTGAAGTCACCCAGAAAACGCGAAGTGGAGCACTAGCCTTGAGCAAAAAGCCTCAGGGATAGCACCCAGGCCCTGAGTTCAAGACTCATGACCAAAACAATAGCAAAGAGAATTTATTTTTATTTTTTATTTTTTTATTTTTATTTTTTTGCAAAGAGAATTTAAACGAGGGCTGGGACCGCAGTGTTAGTGTGCCTGCCTAGCAAACACAAAAGTGATATACTTGAACACCAGCCTGATGATAAGTTCACCTATGAATGTTGACTATACTAGGTATAAAAAGAAGCCAGCTGGAATTTCTATTACAGTGAATGGCATAAAAAAAGGTGAAAGGTGAGAAGGGATCCAAATGTGTCCACACCTAGGATTCCTCTGGGATTTGGTGCTCTGGCTGGGTGTTTTGTTTTGTTTTGCTTTTTTAAACGTCGAGAGTCAAGCTTTGTTCATACTTGAATACTTTTGCATAAGTCATGCAATTTAACCCTAACCCACAGGACTGGAAATAAAATTAGCTCAGCCTGCAAAACAGAGACCACAAGCAAGTAAGAACGTGACTCAAGGTGCAAACTCGCCCCTTTTCTAGCCAGCTCTGTCTCCCAGCTGGCTTTTGCCAGTTTCTTTTTTTTCTTTTTCTTTTTTTTTTTTTTTTGAGGACCTCATGCTTGATTGTCAGAGTGTCAGAAATGAGCTACGCTTCGCATTATGGGAAGAGCTTTGTCTTTTAAATCACTGTCTATGTATTATAAGATGAAGGAGGGGTCTGCAATTTTTTAATGCACTTATTAAATGTGTATCTTTGCCACTTGTAATCAGGACATAGCTAAGAAATTCAGGCATGAACATGGGGTTTTGTTTTGTTTTTGTGTGGTACAGAACAGGATTTACTAGTCGAAAATATCTGTCTAAACAAGCTCACCTCTCAGAACACTTACAGCGAGAGTTCACAGTTGTTCAATCCAAGCAGGTTTGGTGAATGTGCGTGGTGCATCTACTCATTACACAATGAGCAAATTTTTTATTTTATTTATTTGTTTGTTTATTTGCCAGTCCTGGGGCTTGAACTCAGGGCCTGGACATTGTCTCTGAGCCACAGAACCACTGGCAGCTTTTTCTGCATATGTTTCATGAGTGCTAGGCGAGCACTGTACCACTGAGCCACATTCCCAGCCCAAACGGTATATTTTGGAACACCACCGAAGATACCAATCTGTGGCTTTTTGGTTCATTTTGATGAAGAGTGGACAGCAAACTCCACAGGATAGGAGGTTTCAGCCCATCTGTCCTGACCATCTGGTTTACAAGGACCAGGCCACATCTACCGCCTTTGGCTGAGGCGGGGCCTGATGCTGCTCCTTACCTCTACTATGTGGTCACAGTTGATTCCATATTGTGTATTTTTAGGCTCAGTAATAATAATCTGCAAACGTTTAGCATAAACATTTAGCCTTCCCATGTCATTCACGGGAGTATCTTGACATACACCGAGGGTCACATGGCTGGGCGTTTGCTTCCCCCTCCCCCACTGGAAGGGCCCTGAGCCACGTATTAAATTGGTGCCCTGTCACTCAACGAGGAAGTCAGTCGTCTCTCTAACTCTCCTGTCTTGTGCTGAAGGAAGAACAGGCCTAAGGACTCGCTCTTTTAACTCCCTGTCGCTGTCAACGATAAGCCAGAGCTTACAGAGAAAAGACTTGGGGGTGGGGAAGATGGCTCCACTGGTGGGGTTGGAACAGGAACCACTGTTTGTATCAGAGCCATGGAGCAGAGCCACCGTTATTTCACGAGTACTTAGAAGCGTCTCCGAAGAGGAGAGGGCTTGCTGAGGGTGAGGTGGGACGCACACACAGGCAGCCCAGCTCAGAGGGTCACGCATGTGGACGCCAGCCTACACGGCCGGGTACTTTCCACACATCAGCTAAACACTGCTTCTGTTCTAGGAAAAGAGAGAGATTTTAGACTAGAAGAGGATTCAATTGTGAAACCCAGTAACTAAGTTAAGATATTCAAATGTAGTTTTTGTTATTTCCAAAAATATTTCTGCGGGGGGCGGGGGGGAGAGCATTAAAATGCTTTTCTAACTGGCTTTTAGCCAGTTCTTACAGAATATAGAGGTACTGGAAAACTAGCAACCCTAGAAAATAGTAGTTTATTTTTACATGTGTTAAAATGAATTAATATTAGCATATTTGTTGATGTAATAGGCAATTAAAGACTTTAGGAGAGAGAAGAAGGAAAAAAAATAAGTCAGATATAAAACCAGTCTCTCAGCATTTTATAAAAATGTTGGCTTATATCCAGCACTGGAAGGCGGTAGTAGGTATGGTTTCTTTGTAGCTAAAGAAATAAACAGAAAAAGAAAAAGGAAAACCTGCCCTATTTTCATCAAATGAAATATTTCTCACGTTATACATTAGATTCTAGAAAAAGCTTTTTTGTTGTTGTTTGTTTTTTGTAACCTGCCGGCAGGATCTAAAAAACTGTTTCTAGCAAGCCACACTGTTTTTCTCTTTGGGGACATGATGACACTGGTTTTGTAGCAAAACATTATCTGCTTATTAAGCATTTCTTTAAAATCCTGAATAAGCGGCTCTTTCAACAGTTTTTGTTCTACATGTTAAACATTTCATTGCAATTTGAGCGTCAATTGTGTGTGCATTTGTGTGTGCGTGCCTGTGTGTGTGTATGCGCGTGCGTACGCATGCGTGCATGTGCATTTTGATAGGAAGGAATGAAAGAGGATATGTGTAAGAATTCTGGGTTTCTTTAAAAAAAAATGAATTCCTCACAATTATGGATGGGGGTCTCCACGCAAGTGATTCCAATTTATTGCGTACAGCAAACCAGAAGCCGTCAGTCTTGAGCAGCAGGGGTAGGGAGGTGGTGTCGAAGAAGACAGGGAATTTGGTGTTTGAGTAGATGAGATTTAATTTTCAGGAAACATTTCACTCCTAAGATGGATAGCAATGCAGTGTCGGCCCTGACCTCCTCATGTCAATGTCATCGTGCAAGCGTGGCTAAAATAAGCCTCAAAGTAAAACAAAGAAACCTCGCCTCTCAGCCTAACGCGACATCTTCGCCTACAGTAGGTACCATCCAGAGCCTTTAAGAAATGGTTTGCGCCTTTAAATTTTAGCTTTCAGGAGGGGAGGAGGGGGTGAAGAAAAAAAAACCATTCTGCATTTTTCTATGTTCTGAACACGTACGGCATGCTGCTGTAAGTCTTCCTGTTATCTAGGTCAGGAGGGATACTAAAGATAGCAGTGCATCATTCTCCGTGGTCACAAAACATCCAGAGAAACTCACTATCCATTTATTTTCCTGTACTGATTTTATTCTGCTTCTAATTCTAAGAAGACTCATTCACATCTTAGTACGGTTCTGTCTGAGACGGTATCTGCTGTTCTGAAGTGCAGATACATTTAGCAGGATACATTTACGCTGCTTGTGGGTAAAGGTTATAGAACGGGTACAGATGGCTGATCATTGTTCTGCAAGTCTGCCGGCACCATTTAGGATTTAGAAAAATCATGTGCAAATGCCATAGCCAACACCAGAATCATTCTTTACTTTGCAATAACCTCAGAATTATTATTTTTTGCTTGTTTTGTTGTTGTTTTTACTAGCAATTCTATGACATGAACAGTCTATAAAATGCACCAGGAACAGATACGTACTGTATTGAAAGCTTTCTTCCTGGAGAAGACAGGACAGTATTTACCCGCAGCTCATTTTCTTCTTCCTTAGCAAAAGGATGGCTTGAATCTCAGAGGCAGATGCGCACGCTCACTGTTCAGCAGCTCTACTAAAGTGTCTGCAATGCCTTCTACTGCCTGGTTGCAGAATTTGGAGTTGGCTAACCAGGGTTTAGTGCTTGAGCTCATCTTGCATCACCAATTGATGACAGTTTTCTTTGTTCCCTCCTACCCGGTAGAACCAAGACTCTGAGGCGGCTATGCAATGTCACTTACAACATTAATCAGATACCGCATTTAAGGTGAGCTGTCCCCTGCCTCCTCCTCCTCCCCGGTGCCCGGGGCTGCATGCAGCTCGGGTCTCACTCCTGCGAGCTGAAGATGGCAGGCAGGATTAGCGGTGCTTGCGCTGTGTGCATGCTGTGTGTAGAATTCATTACACGTTGCCTAGTATTTCACATGTGAGTATGTAAATGCTCTGGGTTCCATATCATCTGTTAGCGAGGACTCGCTCTCGCCTCATTACAGCCCTCAATATTTCGACATCACCTTTCATTTGCGATTCATTTGCTTCTGCCTGGTAGCTTTTCATCACATGCAGAAATACAGTTTTACCTTTATGTGTGTGTGTCTGTGTGTTTGTGTGTGTCTGGGTGTGTGTCTGTGTCTGGGTGTCTGTTAACAAAGCCAAATCAACCCCATAAAACCCTAAAGCCAGCACCACCACCAAAACTATGCTACCAGATGGTGTCTCCTCTTTCTTCTTGCAATTGCTGTCTTTTTAATAATGTATGTTGTATTGTTAATTAATGTGAATATCAAATTAAACACTTGAAACTTACATGTTTATTATGCAGGTAGGAGGCAAGGTGGAGTCTATTTTTAACTCCGTCGTTGTCGTGGTGGTGGTGGTGTGCACACAACTTGAGTTCTCCTCCGATTTGTATTTTCAGTGCTGGTGCCGGTGGTTTGATTTTCAGCAAGTGTGCCGGTGGCCTCCGGAGCGGTCAGCTCTGGGCTCTGAGGAGGAGCCAGAGGGAGACCAGCACATCATCCCTGCACGCAGCCTCGGAGACACGGTGGAGGAGAAACTTCCCTCTCCAATCCTGTTTTCCTGTTGATAAATTCACTTCTCATGACCCCAGTACATTCCAGCTGTTCTGCGTCTGATTTTTGGTGCGTGTGACAGTTGCATGTGAAACTTGTGAGCAGGAAGACGGAAAAGGCTGTTGGTCTCCATCACCTTACATAAAAATGGCCGAGGGTCTTGTCTTGCTAGCTGTGCATTGAGTGATACGAACAGGTAGGTTGAAATTTGCATGTTTTATAGATTTTTTTTTAATGAGCCCTGCGGTCAAAGCATTACATGTATGAAAATATGACTTTCAAAATAAAAACTAAGATAGTTGTAATCTTTGGGGGAGGGGGAAGGTATTACACACGATAGGTTTCCTGTTCAGATACTATATAAACATAGGGCTTTTATAAACTTAAAAAAATATATGCTATGAAGGTGAGACGATTCCTTTTTTAAGTTACGTGATAGGTTATGTGATAGGTGTGGCGCCACCAGACAAAAGAGTATTTTTTGAAAAGTCCAGTGATTCAGCTCCATTCTAGCTTGAAACTAAAAACAAATGGGTTTTCTGGAGATAATTTCTGAAAGTGCAAATAAGCTTCGTAAAAAAACATAAAAAATATTTAAAATTTAAACAGCGGTTTTTAAGCGGGTTAGGTGGAAGGATGAAAATAAAAATTTATATTCTTCCAAAATCAATTTCTTCTGACAGTAGATAGGAAAAATACACTATTTGTATAGTTGTCATTGAGGGTGGGGTGAGGACTTAGAAGTTTGAAAGGGGGCAAATATTAAATTTGAATGACCCTCAGAAGAAATAAGAGTTTCACCAAATGAAATCCCAGACCATTCTATTGTGCTTCTGTAAGTGCTAAATTCTGTCATTTTTTTCCAAAACAATTTCATAAGCTCTTTGAGCTGAACTTCCATATATATATATATATATATATATATATATATATATATACACACACACACACACATATATGTATATATATGTTTTCATTTCAAATTAACATTGGGCCAGGACTTGTTTCCTTGGTAACCATACTGTACTTAAAAATGCAACAAGAGATATGCAAAAAGAATTTTTTTCTTAAAACAAGGAAACGAATATTTAATGAAAATTTTACAGTTCTCTTTCTGTCATATAGAACCTGCAGTGGTAGTAAACGTTTTAAAAAGGCCGTTTGTAACCTTCCAGATCAAGTCATGTTTCTCAATACATAGAGGAAGTTTAACCAGTCACAGCTTTCTGTACCTCACCTCCTTGGTACTCAGTGCTTTCAGAATTAAGGTTTTCTTTGTAGTATGCTCCAGAACGCAGGTCAAGGTTTGTGCTCAGGAGTGTCATTCCATTATCATGAGTTCACCGGCGCCTCTAAAACAAAAGGCATTTCAGAAATCCCGAGAATCAGAAAGTGCTGATGTTTCTAATTTCCTTCCATTGGTAACCTCCATGCTCCCGGTAGAGAAGGGCCCAGGCCCAAGTCTTCCATCCCAATGACAAGAACACATTGAGCTTTTATGGGAGCATCTTTGTCGGTGTGTTAGGGAGAAGCTTTTCTGTCAAACCTAAGGCCTCCCCAAGGTTTGCTGCCACACGAAGAATGTTGAGTCTCCCGACCTCTGGGCCAGTAGTTGCTTTATTCCAGCAGTCTGTCAAGATTCTGCAGTCCTTTCTGTACAACCAGACCTCTGATGGGTTTAAAGAGTGAGTTTTGTTGTTATTGTGGTGTTGTTGTTTTGAGACCAACCAAAGTATGTTGCTTGAAATCCCGTCTGTGGCTTAATTTGTCTCAGAGTGGTTTTGTGCTCTCGGCTAGCTATCAAATGTTCTTTCTGCAACACTTTTTTTTTTTTTTTAAGCTGCTTGGAAGCCATTTTCCTTCCTGCCTTTGATTTAAAATGCCTAAGTACATTCTGAATACGGTATCTACCAGACCTGGATAAACTGAAGGGAAATGTCAGAAGGCTGATTCAGTGTTGCCTTTTATTTTAGGACCAGTAGTGTTAGCAGTTCCAGTAAGGTCGGGCTAATGGCCACTTGCTTTTGAGCCACTCAAACCTGGGCATTTGTGATTAAAACACTATTGCTTTTCAGAAAGATTGTAACTACAATGTTTTCTACTTTGATAGGCCAGTACAATTGAGTTGTTTGAACCCATTTTGAATCTTAATGACAAGATCAGATGATACTGTACAGTTGTTGTTTTTTTAACCATAAAACTAGTGCCTTGTAGACTCAACATTTAGAGACTGCCCATCCTTTTGTTTATAACCCAAGCATGGTTACGTCATCTTGCAGATTTTCATACCCAGTGATTTTTTTTTTTAAATGGCAGCCTCCATTTCTGTTGCTCTTGGTTGTACCGGAAAGAAATTTTAAATAACAATTTTCAGGAGCCAGAAAGACCACTGGGGATGTCTATTGTACCACTGTCGCTTTAATATCTAGACCAGTGAATGGAAGAATAATTCGTTATTTATTACTTGGTCGTGTTTCGCCTAATCCTTTGCCTCCTTATGCCACAGTACGAGGCACAAAGCTTTTCCAAACTCACCCATTTATGATTATTATTGGATTTCCTAGATTAGCTGAAAATGTCTCCTGCTGATTTGAAGATGGTACTTAGCCTCTCTCCACGGTTAAAAGACTGCTTGGTCCATTTACACTTTTGGCTAAGGTGTTTGCCCAGGGCAGGCCAGAGCAGGTGTGACAGGAAGAGTGTGCAAACTGCTTTGTTCTCACTAAAACGAAAGGGGAAAATGTGTGGCTTTCTGCTTGAATGATTTATAGTATAAAATTCTCAGCTCACCTACCTCCACCCGTTGGAGAATAGAAAATGTTTCTCCAGGCTTTAATTCAATGGGAATACAAGATTTCATGCCTCACCCTTTACCGTGGATCTGTCTCTCCTTAGATAGGCCTGTAGCCCGAGCACAACTTGGGACTTCTGCTTGACATGTGAGAAAACTCTAGAACCTTTTTGCTTTATGACTAAGTCATTCAAAGCCCTTAAGTTCTTGGAGTCACGTGGCTTATGTTTAATAGCACCCTTTCCACAGAACATGCTGTCCTTAATAGTTTGCCTTTCTTTCTGTTGGTGATGTTAGGATTTGAACTCAGGGCCTCAACTCTCGCTAGGCACACATACTACCACTTGAGCTACTCTGCCAGCCCTTCTTTACATTTTTGAGATAGGTCTTAAATTTTTGCCTAGCTTCTGCCTGGACTGTGATTCTCTTATTTTACTCTTCCTAACGTAGCTGGGATGATGGGCTTGAACCATATACCCAGCTATTGGTTCAGAAAGAGGGTCCCATGAACTTTTTATCCAGATTTGCCTCTCAGCTTCTGCACCCCAAGTAGCTAGAATTTCAGGTATGAGCCACCACACCTGGCTATAGATTTCTTGATAATGAAACACCCCACGTATTTAATGTGTATCTGCTATGTACCAGAAGTAGGAAAATACAGGAATGAACAAGACCAGAATCTGCTTCTTACAGGTGGGGGACCAGGCAAAAATAAACACGCAAGCAAATAAAAAGACAAAGGCAAAGGCAGAAACTAACGTAAAAATATGTCCTGTGAGAGCAGTGCATTGTGGGAGGACAGCCATGGAGGATGGCGGGTTAGAAGGCCTCCCGTGCTTCCAGAGTGGGGATCACGTGTAGCGGGGAGGCCCACCAGCCGAGGCGTGCTCAGCCCAGCCTGGCTTGCTGGTGGCGTGTAGCCAGAGACGTCTGAGATTCATGGCTGAGCCTTCCGAAGGCGGCTCCTAGGGTGACCCCAGCCCCCGAGGTAGCACCTGTGGGGACCCAGCCTCCCCCCCCCAAAACCACCTCAGGAAATGAGGGCCATTCAGTTCCCCAAGGTGACGAAATCCTGGCCCAGACTTAGCGCCAACCCATACCCTGAGGATTCCAGGGTATGGCAGAACACCGAGGCATCCCCTGATATTTTGTTTCCACAGGTGAGGGCAGAAGGTGGCTTTGTCCCGACCCCTCCCCCCACTGCGGCTTACACAGCTTTGGCCAGAAGGTTTTTGGCTCTGCAGAGATCTACCCGTTGATGTTTTGTTTTTGTGTTTTGCCGGCATGGGTTCGAATTCAGGACCTCTTTTCAAGAGAGGCTTTGATTTATGTCCAGGATGGCCTTGACTGGGATTCTCCCTCTCCAGCTTCCTTTTGTCACCGGACGGTGGGCACGGCTGACACAGCCCTGGGTCAAGGGGAGTCTCACGGCTTTTTTAAAATTTTTATTTAGATGACAGCCTCCGCCCCAGCCTTGAATAGTGATCCTCAGCCTCCATCTCTCAGCTAGCTAGGTTTACAGCTGTGAACCACTAGATTCCTAGCCTGTGGGTGGCCTCTGAAAGACCCCATGGCTTATAGGGTGTTTTTTCTCCATTACAGGAAATGGTGCTTAAAAGATTCTTAAGGGCCAGTAGGACCCTTTATACCATTCAGGGGAGGCTGCAGATGAAGGCCAGGAAGAGGCCAGAGACTTGCCACACGAGTTAGGCCATAAGGTTCACCAGAGCCTCTGACCATTCCAGGAGCACTTAGTTAAACGGATCTGTATTTTCGCAGAGTTTGCTTTGCTACATCGAGGTGTCTTGGCTGGCTCATCTGTTTTAGGGAAACATTCCAGTCTTTTCTAGACTATGGCCCAAGCATTAGGAAGCAGTGGTGAGCCACAGAAATGCAGGAGAGCTTTTGCTACACGCCTAGCCACACACTGATGCCGAGGGCTGAAACAATCCGTATGAGAACGCAACATAGAGCGTCTGGTCTAATTCTAACGGAGAATGGGAAGGTTGCAGAAGTATGCTTCCAGGCTCCGCTCAGACCAGTTGGAGTGACCCAGGGCGACCTGTGGGTTGTCAAGTGTCATTTAAATCCTGTACTCGCAGATGATAACACCCCACCCCATTGGGAGCTTTTCTTAGGTGGCAATGGGTAGTATGGCATGGGCAGAAGGAGTTGTGTTGTATAATAAAGGAGACATCATCACAAGAAAGGAGGGATTCGAACAAAGTTCTCCCTTAGTACAGGGTTGGTGAGTTCAGGAGACTGGGATTTCTCTAAGCCTGCCCTCTCTCTCTCTGTCTCTCTGTCTCTGTCTGTCTGTCTCTCTCCCTCCCTCCCTCTCTCTCTCCCCCCTCCCCCTCCCAGGCTGTATTCCCACTTCTCATTGCTATCACTTTCAATACATT